GAGGAAGAGAATAAATTTCCTTATCAAATCAGGTAATGCCAATTTATGCTACATTCAAGAATATAAGTTTGTTAGTTTTGATGAGTCTTTAGCTTGGTCTTTATGGGGAAGTAAAGATGTGGAGTGGACTGCCAGTAACTCTCGGGATGCGTCGAGGGGTATGGTTATATTGTGGAAGAAATATTTATTTTCTCTTAACTACAACTTCATAGGTATTGGTTATGTTGGTATTAATGTGTATTGGAAAGGAAGGGTTTACAATTTTGTCAACGTGTATGCTCCTTGAAATGCGGCTTCAAGGAGGTTATTATGGTGGAGTTTGGTGGATAGAAAGTTATGAAGTGTTGATAAAGATTGGTGCCTTGGAGGCGATTTCAATGAAGTTTGTTATAGAGAAGAGAGGTTAGGAGTGAGGGACAGTCACAATAGAAGAGATATGGCAGTTTATGGAAACTTCATTGAAGAAATAGAGTTGATGGACATTCCTTGTGTAGGGAGCAGGTTTATATGGTGTAAGGGGAATAAAACAGCTATGAGTAGACTTGATAGATTCTTACTTTAACCCAAGTTGATTGAAGATTTGAGCTTTATCGATCAAAGAGTGGGATGTAGAGACATCTCAGACCATTGCCCGATTTGGCTCAACTCTGGTAAAGTGGATTGGGGACCAAAGCCGTTTAGATTTAATAACGTGTGGTTTAAGCATGAGGGTTTCAATACTTTCATCAAAGAGGAGTCAGCTAAGATCAATGTGGAAGGGAGAGGAGATTTTGTTATGCATGAGAAGCTAAAAGGGTTAAAACCTAGATTAAGGGAGTGCAAGCGTGATATCTTTGGTTGGATTAACTTGAAAGTGGAAGAGCATATGAAACACTTAAATGTCTTAGATACTTTTTTGGTGGATCATTATGGTGGAGATATTGAGGAGATAGTGTTAGAAAGAGGGGGTGTTTCCGGAGAAATTTGGAATACGTTATTTTTGAAAGAGAGTATGCTTAGATTAAAATCTAGGCAACTTTGGTTGATGAATGGTGATAAGAACACGCGTTTTTCCATAATTCTATGAAGGAGAGATATAGAAGGAACACAATTTCTCTTTTTAAAGGGACGAATGGGAGAGTGGGAGGTGTGGAAGATATCAAGGAGGAGGTTAAGTCTTATTTCGAGAATTTTTTCAAGGAGAACAATGTTCTAAGACCGGTTCCATAAGGGCTTGCTTTCAAATCCTTAAGTGAGCATGATAGGTTATGGATTGAAAGACCGTTTCTAAGGAAGAGGTGAAGGAGGCGGTGTGGTCTTGTGACGGAAGTAAGAGTGTCGATCCAGATGGTTTTTATCTTGAATTTTATAAGAAAAATTGGGATCTTATCAAGAATGATGTCCTAAGATTTGAAGGGGGTTTCTATAGAAGTTCTAAGCTTACCAAAGCTTACACTTCGTCTTTTATCACTCTTATCGCTAAGACAAATAATCCCCAATCTTTATCGAAGTATCAACCTATTTGTCTTGTGGGGAGTATGCATAATGTTTTGTCTAAATTGTTGGCAGCTAGATTGAAAATTGTTTTGGATAGTATTTTCTGGATCAACCAATCCGTTTTTGTTTCGGGGAGAAATATTGCAGACAGTGTCTTGGTCGTCAACGAGGCCTTAGATTTGGCTAATCGAGATAAGAGAAGTTGTGTGGTGTTAAAGGTGGATTTTGAAAAAGCGTATGATTGTATAACTTGGAATTTCTTGAGATTTTTGTTACCTAAAATGGGCTTTGGAGAAAGATGGATTAGGTTGATGGAAGATGTCGTGTTTCTTAGTTCAATTTCAGTTATTATTAATGGAAGCACTACGAAGGATTTCTTTGTGGAAAGGGGTCTTTGTCAAGGAGATCCGATTTCACTGTTTTGTTTGTTTTGGTTATGGAAGTTCTTATCGGGCTTATGAATAAGTAGGTGGGAGTCAGAGTTTTTAGAGGATTTAAGATTAATTTAGAAGAGGAAATCAATATTCTTCAATTTGTGGATGATACAATAATTATATGGGATGTAATTTGTAAAAATCTTTGGTGTATGAAACCAATTCTTAGGGGTTTTGATATGATGTTTGGTTGAAGATCAATTTTCACAAAAGTAAGCTTTTATGTTATTCATGTGGAAGAATGGTTTATGGAAGCAGCCTCAAATTTCCTTTTCGTGTGATATTGATAGTTTACCATTCAAATATCTTGGTGTTAAGGTGGGGGATAGCCCTAGGAAGTTAAGTATGTGGAAGGAGTTGATTACCAATGTCAAAAGAAGGTTGAGTGTTTGGAAAGGGAAGCATCTCAATTTTGCGTGTCGGGTGGTGTTGATTAATTGGTGTTGAATGCCATACCGATTTATTCCTTATCTTTCTACAAAGCTCCCTCCAACGTGCTTAGTGGGTTACATCGATTCAAAGTAATTTCCTTTGGCGTGAAGGGGAATCTAGAAGGTCGATTCATTGGGTGAGTTGGAATTCTGTTTGCAAACCCCGTGATTTAGGTGGCATTGGCGTTAAAGACGTGGCGGTTTTGAATAAGGCGTTATTTAGTAAGTGGAAATGGAAGATCCTAAACGACCAAAATGCGATGTGGAGAAACATTCTAAGTAGTATATGTGAAAACTATGAGACCAAGGGGCTCGTTGGCGACAAGAGCGTCTTGTACAACGACTCAATTTGGTATCAGGACCTCATTTTATCTGATAATTCGATGTCTGTCTGAAATCGTTTTGTCGAAGCAGTTTCATGTACTATTATAAACGAGACTAGGACGGATTTTTGGCAGCTGCCTTGGCCAAACAATCAACCTCTATCGGAAGCCTTCTCCGAAATATTTGAGCAAGCTTCAAACACTTCATGTTACATGGAGGATGCAGGTCGAGTGGACGCTGACGGTTGGACTTGGCATCTTGCGGATTTAATGGATGATGAAAAAAAACTGAGCCTTTTTTTGTGGCTGCAGTTTTTGAATTCTGGGAGGATGTGGTACTGTCTATAACAGACACTGATGGCTATAGTTAGACTTGTCAGTGGTGGAGTTGTCGGAGTTTTCTTCTCTATTACGAGAGGGTGAAGAGGAAGATGGATAGGAAAACTGTTGATGTCGTATGGCTAGCCACAGTTTGGTGTTTACGGTTGTCGCGTAATGCAGTCATTTAAGGATGAGGCTTTCAATTTTGACGATGTTATATCGGCGATAGTTTTTAGAACATGGATGTGGATGTCTTCCTCTTGTAAATTTGCTGATGGATGTAATTTCTCTTTATGGAATACTCTATCTCTCCTTTGTTTTAGAGGATAGGGGTTTTCCGCTTTGTTGTATCTGGTGGAATATTCCTTATAGTCTCTTTTAATAGTATCATTGTCTATTAAAAATGTAGATGGAAATTAATATACTTTTGTATATAATATATATTTCTCTCATGATGCATTTTAAATCAAACTATTTCAATATTTATTTTAAATATATTATTTAAACTATTTATGGTTAATTTATATTAAATTGGAAATAATATAAGTTTTTACAAAAGTATATTATTTATAAATATATATTTACCAATATATATTTTTACTTTCAATATTAGTAAGTAACTATATATATTAGTAATTAACTATATAAATAAAAATAAATATTAGTTAGATAAATATATGTATTTATTTATATAATATCATTTAATACATGACATATATTAACATGGATATATTTAGTAGTTATTTGTTAATAATATTAAATATTAAAATGTATTTAGTAGTTATTTGTTAATAATATATTAAATATTTAATAATAAATTGAAATTATATTTAATATTTAATATATTTAATATTTTATAGATTTAATATTTAATATTAAAATATATTTCATAGCTATTTTCTTCTTAATAAACTAAAAGTAAATAAAAAATTATATTTTCAGTTTTTAAAATAATAGGCAAAATATCTTTTTTAGTTCTGTAGGTTAATGTTAAGGTTCATTTTGGTTTTTTAACTTAAAAAAGGTTTATATTGGTCTATTAACTCTTCAAAATGCTTTATTTTAGCCCTTTTTATCTAATTAGTAATGAATTTAACGACTGATTTTTGAATTTTTCCGTCGTTAATTAGATAAAAAAGACTAAAATAAAGCGTTTTGGAGAATTAAATGACTAATTTGAATATTTTTTAAGTTAAGGAACCAAAATGAATCTTAACGTTAACATACAAGACGAAAAAGGGTATTTTAGCTTTATTAATTTTACATATATATATATATATATATATATATATATATATATATATATATATATATATATATATATATATATATATATATATATATATATATATATATATATATATATATATATATATATATATATATATATATATATAATAACACTCATTTAAATGATATGATATTTAATATCAACAAATTTAAATAATAAAATAAATTTAAAATTAAAATAAATATATAAAATATAGTTGAATGATGCTCATTCAAATATACATATAGTTGAATAATACTCATGTAAAATCAATTTAAGAAATAAATAATACCTATGTAATATATTCATTTGATGTAAGTTACTATACAAGGAAAATAAATAACTCAGTGCAAGCTATTATACAAAAGATCATGAGTTCAAGATTCATTGACCATAAAATTTTAGAATTTTAACCTTTTAATTTTCTAATCTTAAAATAAAAATATAGAAAAAATTTCACAGATTTCTTTGACTAAATCCACTCAAGAGTCAAAACATAATTTTTTTATTATATTATTATACTCATTCTGTTCCTATTTATATAAGACTACTTTATGACATATTTTATATTTTATATACTAAGAAAGTAGTGTGTGTAACTAATGTGTATATCTTATATATTACTATTACTATGTTTAATTTAATTATTAATCTTGTCACGATTAATAAAGAATCTATATTAAAGACAAACAATATTGGACAAAAGTTCATAATACTAAAAAATTTGCATGAATATTAAAATTACCATTGACAGGTTGTTCACGGTTCGCCATCCATACAATATTGTTAGGATTGTGATTCCTCAGCTCTGTGAACCATATGGCGAAGGAAAATGCGTTTTCTCCAACTTGATAGAATCCAGCAGAGAATGTGCCATTTGAAGAAACAAGTACATCTTCTGCATGTTTCTCTACTGAGAGAAAAGATCCCTTGTTCAACGATGATAAAGAACTTGAATATTGGAAGGGATATAGCAAGAAGACTAGGAAAATATGTGAAATTGTAAAAGCCACCATGTTGTTGCAATTGCAATTAATTAAGCTATAGTGTAGAGTTTATATATAGATATGATTTATTTGTTGTAGGTTTTGTGCAAGTGTGTATATTTAACAGAAAAGGACCAAAGGACGTTGCTTCCTGTAGATTGTCGTGTATGAACTTTTCAATGCTTGACGCAGCCAGTCTTTTGCCCTAAGGACTAAGAACTATTGGGGTCGTCCCTATATAAGTATTTTATTAATTATAATTAATTAAAATATTTTATTAAATAATATTAATTTTATTATTAAAATTATATAAAATAAAGTGGTCAAATAGGAGAAAACGTGTTTGAATCATTAACATACTTTTATATTATTTACCTTTGATATTATTGATTTTTTTGCACCAAAAGCATTTAATCTTTCACAAATAATATAAAGACTTATGAATAACAATATTGAATTTTCTAACAATATTGCACACAGACTTATGAGGGATCTTACACTTTTAAACTTTAAAATAGATACATTTATAACTTTAAAATATCAAAGACAAATAGTATAAAAATATGTTATAAAAATATAAAAGTGCGGGTTTAGACAGGTTTACACTCGAATTCTTCAAGAAGAATTGGGAGTAAGTCAAGGAGGATGTAGGGTGTTTTGTAAAGGATTATCATTCGAAGGCTAGGCTTACTAAAGCTTGTACGGCTTTGTTTCTGACGCTTAACCCGGAGGTGAATAACCTTCCATCTTTATCTGAATACATACCTATTTATCTTGTGGGATGCCTCTACAAAATTCTCGCTAAGATTCTTGTAGCTAGACTGAAGATGGTTATTGGTAATATTGTTTTCCCTAAGCAGTTAGCGTTTATTCCAGGTAGAAATATTTCTAACGGTATTCTTATGGTCAACGAAGTTCTGGTCTTGGCCAAAAGAGAAAAAAGAAGTTGTTTGGCTCTAAAACTGGATTATGAAATAGCTTATGATAGTGTAAGTTGGAACTATCTTAGATTTTTGTTCAACAAGATAGGTTTCAGGCCGAAATGGGTGAGTTGGATGGAGGTTGTTGTATTCAACAGTTTGATGTTGATCCTTGTGAATGGGAGTGCGACAAAGGATTATAAGGTGGAAAGAGGTTTGCGTCAGGGAGATCCCCTATCTCTATTCCTATTTAATATAGTGATGAAGGGATTAACTAGGTTGATCGAAAAAGAGGTGGAATTAGGCGAATTTCATGGTTTTAGGTTTGAAGAGGAGTGTTTGGTTGATATCCTTCTCTTTGCGGATGACACTATTATATTCGGGAATGGGTGCAGCGGTAACTTGTGGGGACTCAAGGCAGTGCTATGGGGTTTCAAGTTAATGTCTGGTTTGAGGGTTAACTTTTTCAAAAGTAATATGTACGACATTAACATTTGTGATTCGTCGTTGGAAGCTGCTTCCTCTTTCTTATTGTGTAACATTTGTATTCTGCCTTTTAAATTCTTGGGTATGTTGGTTGGTGATAGTCTGAGGCGCTTGTTCATGTGCAAATAGGTTTTGAGTAATCTGAGGAAGAGGCTATCTAGTTGGAAAGGGAGAAATCTTTCTTTGGGCGGGAGAGTGGTTCTGTTAAATTCAGTATTGAATTCTATTATCTTGTACATGTTGTCTTTCTATAAGGCTTCATCGAAGGTAATTAAGTAGATTAAGAGTATCCAATGTAAGTTCTTATGGAAAGGAGATTAGCACAAAAGATCAGTTCATTGGGTGAGCTCAAAATTTGTTTGTAAACCAAAATAAATCTGGGGGTCTCGAAATTAAAGATATCAGAATCATGAATTTTTCACTTTTGTGTAAGTGGAAATGGGTGATAATCTCGGATAACAATGCTATTTGGAGTAGTATGTTGAAGTATATATACAAGTTTCCGAAAGAGAAAATGTTCATTAGCAACAAGAGCGTGATCGAGAAAGAGAATTCTATATGGTGGAGGGACATTGTTATGGCGGACTCTAGTACCGGCTTATGCGGTAAATATTTTTCTGATTGTATTTTATGTAGGCCTGGTAACGGGAACATGTTATCTTTTTGGTACATCAAGTGGTTGGGAAACCAATCTTTAAAGGATGCTTTCCAGGAGATTTTTGCTTGTTCTCATTCGAAGAAGATGAGTATGGACATAGCAGGAAAATGGGAGGAAGGATTTTGGTCTTGGAATGCCTAGGACATGGTTCTGAATCACGAAGATATTGACTAGCATCTGGGCGGAATTTATGTCCACTCTGAACTAGGCCGTGATTTTTCAAGATTCGGAGGATAAGTTTAGGTGGGATCTAGAGGATGACGAGTTATTTTCGGTTCAGTCTTGCTATAAGATTTTCAAGGTTGGTTCAACGAATGTCGCATTACAAGAAATCAAGCCTATTGCCTCTAATGGACATCGTTTCATTCTTGTTTCCATTTGACTACTTTACCAAGTGGGTTGAAGAAGCTTCATTTGCCTCAGTTACCAAGAACTTTGTAGCTCGGTTTATCAAGCATAACCTCATTTTTCGGTATGGTATCCCTGAGAGAATTATCACTGACAATGGTACTAATCTCAACAATACCATGATCAATGAACTCTGCACGTAGTTCAAGATCAAAATCACAACTCTTCTGCATACAGGCCTAAGATGAATGACATAGTGGAAGCTGCAAAAAAGAATATAAAGAAGATTCTGCAAAAGATGGTGGTGACCTATAAAGACTGGCATGAGATGCTACCATTTTCTCTTCATGGCTATTGTACTTTGGCACGAACATCAATTGGGGAAACCCCTTTCTCTTTGGTCTATGGCATGGAAGGTGTCTTACCTGTCAAAGTTCAAATCCCTTTTCTAAGGATAATGAAAGAAGCAAACTTAGAGGAAGACGAATGGATTCAGACAAGGTTGGATCAATTGAGTTTGATTGACGAAAAGAGACTGGATGCTGTCTGTCATGGTCAGATGTATCAAAAGCGTATGATTAAGGCATTCAACAAGAAGATCAAGCATCGAGTATACAAGGCTAGTGACTTGGTAATAAAGCACATCATTCTATCACAAGGCGATCCCAGGGGCAAATAGACTCCCACTTATGAAGGGTCATTTGTTGTCAAGAAAGTATTCTCAGGCGAAGCAATGATGCTAACCACTATGGACAACGAAGATTTCCCTCACCCTGTGAATGCTGGCATAGTAAAAAAATACTATGTATAAGAATGACCCCCTAGGTTGACATACCTAGGAAAAAATAAGGGCATCCCGGCGAACCAAAAGGGTTTGGGCAAAAATAAGGGATATATACAAAAGATTGTACACCCGGCAAGTCACAAACCTGAAAGGGCGGCTTGGGCAAAAAAGGGTATCTGGTGGACTGAAAACCCGAAAGGGCGGTCTAGGCAAAAATTATGGATTAAAGCGTACGATTATGTCCCGTTGGATCACTTTCATACAAGCTTTATTACCGAGGTCAAAAGTTCAAATGGTACAAGATCAGTTCAATCAACTTCCTCCGACAGCAAGGGACGAAACATTCAAAGACATAGGGGAAATAACAGAGTTGGAACCCAATGAGATCACTTCCACATGGCTATACATATTTGTTTTCACTTTGTACTCTTTTCATTTCACGACGACTTCCTCTTACTATGATTTCCATCTCTTTGTACAAAATTGCTTGTTTAAAGGCAAATTATCAATACAAATATACTTTAAAGTCCAAACTTTTTGTTTTTTCGGTTTTTTTTTTGCAAAAACATCCAATGACTAAAATTTAATGAACATATGCATATGAAAATGATTAACTGTTAATAAATATATACATAAGAACATGAATAAGCATTTACTCAAAATTCTAGGAGCTGGGATGACACTCAAGCTGTCCATAAATCTCCACATAATCCCTTTCATAAGGCTATTCTTAGAGAAATCGTCGGAGTCACTTCTATGAGATTATCTCCCCACAGAGTAATCTTCACAAATAAGGGTACATTCCCCGCAACCTCCCCGGTAGACCACTCTAGCAAATAAAGGAGTATATTCATTTTCCCGATAATATCACCAACCTACGGTGTTCCCAACCAGTATACTTCATGGAAATTCTCTTCCCCAACTGAGTTTAGTCCTCCAAAACTGAAAAAAGAGACCTTACAGAGTTTCTGCTAAATCAATTTCCCCAAGAGAGTTTGTTTCCTCAGCAGAGTACTTCTCCATCAACAAGGGTTTATTTCCCCAACATGGTTTATTTCCCCAACAAACTACAAATTCCCCAACTCGAGTATATTCCTCAGACTACTACAAATCACTGACAAAATTCTTCTCCCTAGTAAAGTCATCATTATCCCCAGAAAGTTGCTGCGAAGCTTGGAATCCGACCAAATACCAGTTAACTTTATCCTCCCCAAACGAGTTAGAAGTTTAACCGTCTCTTTTATCCCCAGTCAGGGTATATAAGAAATAAATTTCCCAACAGAGAAATGGAAGACCAATGTTTCTAAACTCTACTACCCAAACATAAATCAATACATCCCCTGCAGATTTTCCTCAAACAAGTAACCAGGAATCCCCAACGGAAGCATTCTAGACAAGATTGAAGATACACATACTCTTCATCCCCAAAATAGTCAGGGATTTATTTTCCAAGACAAGTACACTTCAACAACATTGTACATTAATTCATCATAACATATGCATACAAAACGCATATAGCACAATCTCATTTATTTTGAGAACATCATTGCGCAATGCATTTCATACATCATGACATTGCATACAACTAACTCTTTACCTTTTCAAGAAAGATCAATCAACAAACTGATGTCATCAACAAATCCTCATAGAAGATTGTAAAAGATAGGGCAAATATCTACATGATGAACACTCCCTTCAAACCTCTACTGGCTCAGATTAAATCGACCAAAGATTTATTTTGATACTTCTCTCAGTAGATCTTTTTATAGCTTAGATTAAATTAACCAAGGATTTATTCTGATACTTCTCTCAGTTAAATATTTAAAAACACCTA